AAAACAAACAAAAAACCCCACCAGGCTTTAGTTTTCTTTTTTGAAATGTTATCTTTCTGATGAGTACCTATATTTTTCTATTTTTTATTTTTTTTAGTTGAAAGGCTCTTTTTCCTAAGCATTCCCAGAATCCTCTTAACTATATACCACACTTGCTTGCTAGACTTTTTGTTTCTCTTGGGCAGAGATTACTGTTTTATCTTTTTGCTTCCGTTCCACTATCAGGTGACTAATATGTACTTGTCTGTTATGGCTTGTATCTAGATGCTCCCCCTCCCCCAAAGTCTCATGAGCTCATAGGTAGCGCTTTTTAGTAGTGGCTGGCTCTATGGTGTGTGAATATGGATTAAGGGTGTGTGATAACTCAATAGGCTGACCAACTGGTTTAGCATAGTTCTGGATGTGGATAAGGGGGAGACCCACCCTAAGTGTGGGAGGCACCAACCAGTAAGCTTGCAGCTTAGATGGAATACAAAGGGAAAGAGGGAAAGAGGGAAAGCAGTCTCATTGCTTGCTGCTTCCTGTCTACCCCACCCTGCCCTGGACTGCTCCTCTGCTATGCCACCCGGCCTTGGAGTCAGCAAACTGCAACTTCTGCAAACTGTGAGTGCCAAGGTTTGTGGGGTTTTTTTTGGTGGTTGTTATTTTTCCGGAACCAGGGATTGAACTCAGGCCCTTATGCTTGTCAGGGAAGTGCTTATTCTGTGGAGCCATCTCCCCAGCCCTTTTTTTTTTTGGCAGAACCAAGGATTGAACTCAGGTCCTTGTGCTTGCCAGGGAAGCGCTTATTCCACTGAGCCATCTCCCCAGCAGCAAGGAAGAAAATAAGTTAATGTCGCTGCCCCCTCTGCCAAGTACTGGATTGAATCCAGGGCCTTTACAATGAGTTATATCCCTGGTATCTTTTTAAAATTTTTATTTATTTATTTATTTATTTGTTTATTTATTTGCAGTACTGGGGATCAAACTCAGGAGCTTGTGCTTGCCAGGCAGGCATTTACACCACTAAGCTATATCCCCAGCCCTCTTTTTTAAAATTTTGAGACAGAATCTCACTAAATAAATTGCTCAGATTGAATTTAAACTGGTTCTCAGGTTCCCAAGTGCAGGTATTATAGGAATGAGCCAGTACGCCTACTGTTTTCTTTAGTCTTTTAAGACCTATATCTCTTCAATATATTGTTCCATAATTTTTTATGATTTCCATTTAATGATTCTGGGTTTAAAGTAGGCTTACTTGTATGTGATTTTTAAAGGGAGTTTTTTTTTTTGTTTGTTTGTTTTTTAAGGGAGTCTTCAAAGTGAACGTATAGAAATTGATTAAAAATAGCTGGGCATGATGGTGCATGCTTGTAATTCTAGCTTGTCAGGAGGCAGAGGAATAATTGAAAGTTTGAGGCTAATATGAGTAATTGAACAAGACCTAATCTCAAAATAAAAAGGACTGGGGATGTGGCTTAGTGGCAGAGCTCTTGCCTGGCATGCATGGGGCTTTGGATTCAGTTCACAGTACTAGAGGAAAAACAACAACAAAATGACAAAAAAAGTTTTTCCTATGTGCCTGCTATATAAAAATTTTCTTCCTTCCTTCCTTCCTTCCTTCCTTCCTTCCTTCCTTCCTTCCTTCCTTCCTTCCTTCTTTCTTTCCTTCCTCCTCCTGTTCTCCCCTCCCACCCCCCTCGAGATTGAACTCAGACTCTTGTGCTTGTAAGGCAGGCATTTATGCCACTGAGCTAGTTCCCTGGCCGCCTCCCCCAGATTTCCTTTTCTATGGAATTCTGTACCTAAGAAGAAAGGAATTTGGATAAAATGTGTATGCTACAAATAGGACCAAGTCATTAATAGATGCCTTGAATTATAAGCCACTTTATAAGTTTACATATTCTTTAGGGGAAAGGGCAGGTAAATTAAAGAGATAGCCGAGCCGTTTAAAACTGGGAATTATTTATTTAAGGAGACAGTTGTTCGGAAAGGTATTTTGGAACTTTTGTGGTCAGTCTTTTGAGTTTGAGGTATCTTAATCAATTCCAGCTGCTATAACAAAAATACCGTTAACTATGTGGGTGACATATAGACAACAGAAATTTGTTTCTCTAGTTTTGTAGGCATTGAAGTCCAAGGTGAAGGTCAAGGCAGATTTGATGTATGGTGAAGGTCTACTTCCTCCTAAATGGCTGTCTTCTCACTGTAATCTCACATGGTAGGAGATGCTGGAAAGAGGTGTTTGTTTTGTTTTGAGGTAATGTCTTAGTATTTTGTCATGGTTGACCTCAAGGTCACTATTGACCTACCTCAGTCTCCCAAGTAGCTGGGATGACAGACATATGGCAGCATATTTGGCTTTCTCTAGGGCCTATTTTATATGTGCTAATCCTAGGGCACCGCCATTACTTCACAGAGGCTCTGCCTCAGATTGCTAATCAGATGTCAACATATGAACTATCAAAACTCAACAATCTCTAGCTGGCAGTTTTTGTTGAAGTAGACAGTTTATGTAGCGTCTCTGTTTAAAACATTGTTTTTTTCCTATTATTTGACTTAATAAAAGCCTAACTTTGGAGGATTCCTAACTGATCAGTTAAGATTGTTCATGTGGGGTGTGGAGATGTAACTCAATGGGAAAGTGCTTGCCTAGGGTATGTGAAGCTCATGTTTTGCTACATAGCACTGGGGCAAGGGCAAAGATTGGGGAAAAAAGATTTACTTATTTACTTTTTTGTATTTTATTGAGAAAGAAGCAATGAGACAGTTTCAAAACAGGTTAGTAGGACAGTTACAATAATTAATATATTGCATATTGTTGTCTGTAGTATTCATGGTACAAGATGCAGACATGATATCTTGTCTAAACACTACTAGTTCAAAACTTTCTTCTCATTGAACTAAGAGAAAGTAACTGTACATCTTGCTAACTTTTGTATATACAAATATATATATATATATTTTTTTCCAATACAAAATGGTCCTTTATTTATATCCCCCTTTTTTGTTTAGTTTTATTAGAGATGGGCATTCCATTGCCATTCATATAATGTAGGTGCATGAAAAAAAAAAGATTTTTAACTTTGCCAGGAATTTCTGTACTTTCAGAAGTTTAGAGGCTTTCTTGGAGTTATACTTTTCTGTGAATACATTCATTTCTGTGAGTAGCTTTCTTGTCTTCCTTTATTCATTTTGAACCTCACAATGAAAAGGTGATACAGTCCATGCTTTATGGGACAGCATTGTTTTCAGTACCACTCTGGACACCAGAATGCGTGGATACTTGAGTCCCTTATATAAAATAGCAGTGTATTTGCAAATATCCTTTATACACCCTTCTTTATTCTTTAAGTCTTCTCTAAATAATGTGCAATATCTAATGTAATGAAAATGCTGGGTTTTTTTAATGTTCATTTTATTTATCCAAGCTTCCATTCTTTTCTTTTTTTAGCATTGTCATTATACTGTAGGGGGAATTATGGTAACAGAAAAGTCTGTGTTTGGTAGATGGGGTGTTTTTCAGTATTTTCTGTCCATGATTGGTTAAACTTGCAAATACAGAGGTCTAAATATATACTCTTTATATAAGTAAAAAAGGGGCTGAGGAGATAGCTTGGCGGTCTAAGCCCCTTCCTGGCAAGCACAAGGACCCAGTTCCATCCCCAGTTAATCCCAGCATTCAGGAAGACTGAGATAGGAGGATCATTATGAGTCTGAGCTGCATAGCAAGATCCTGTTAAAGATTACAAAAAGAGAAAAAAGAAATAAGTGAGAAAAGGGTAGTTATATGATGACAGTTTAGGTATAACAAAAGTTGTATTAGTATTTAAATTTCTTAATCTTTGTATTTTGTTTCACAGATTATAATGCAAGGTATGTCCTTAATTTTCTACATGTTGTAGCAGTCTTGCAGCCGTTAATTTTGTTATCTACAAAATGAGGGTTTAAGTAGATAGCCTCATTTTTTTCCCCACATATAAATCCATGTTTTTTTGTTTGTTTTAGACTGCACAGGGGATTGAACTCAGAGCTTCACACATGTGAGGAAAGTTCTCTACCACTGAGCCACGTCCCCAGCCCATTAATATAGTTTATCTTTTTGAGACAGGGTTTCACTTTGTAGCCAAGACTGGCCTCAAACTCATAGTGATTCTCCTGTCTCAGCCTCCTGAGTTCTGGTATTACAGGGGTGCACATGCACCACCATACCCGACTTTTTTTGAGGTGGGGGGGCAGATCTCATTGTGTAATCCAAGTTGACGTTGATCTTGCTCTATAGAGCTCAGGCTAACCTCCAACTCAAACTTGATACCCTCGTGACTCAGCCTCCTAGACACCAGGGTTACAGGTATACACCACCGTACATCACTTAATTCAGTTTTTAAAGTGTCTTTAGGTGTAATAAGATTGGAATCTCTCAAAATAGTTCAACCATTCTTGTTATACTTACATGATTGTTTGTTGGAATTGTATCTATGAATTTGATTCATTGAATGATAGTTTTTGCTATCATGTTTTAAGTTAAATGCAAAATCTTTCCCAACCTTGTTCACTACTTTTTGTAGCTCAAGGCTCCAATTGTGGTTAACTGCTCAATAAATTTGTAGAGTCAAATAAATGAGTTATTAAAAAGTGATAATGTTGGCATGGGTAGTACAGGCAGCATAATGTTGTAGAAAGACTATGGATACACTTTGGATTTTTGCTTTAAATAATAAGATGTAATAAGGGGCCGTGGAGATGGCTCAGTAGAATAAGCGCTTTTCTGGCAAGCTCAAGGGCCTGAGTTCAATCCCTGGTTCCGGGGGGAAAAAAAAGATGTAATAATGTGGAGATTGTTAAGATAACTTAGGATAGTAAAAAGTATAAAGCATTTAACTTAAAATGTTCCCTTTTTTGTTTATTTCAATCTGCTTAAAGACCAACGTTTTTTAGATCAGCATATTTTTATCATATAAACTGGGTACATTGGTGTACACTGAGTTGAATTTTAATAAGCTTTTTATTTTTTCTCTTAGTTTTACATGTGGCACCCATAAAAAATGAGGCTGAGAACACGAAAAGCTTCTCAGCAATCAAATCCAATCCAAATACAACGCACTGCCAGAGCAAAAAGGAAATATTCAGAGATTGATGATAGCCTGCCTGCACGAGGAGAGAAACCACCGAAAAATGAGACCGGCTTATTGTCTTCAATTAAAAAATTCATTAAAGGAAGCACACCCAAGGTAGTCTTGTCTTGTCTTGTCTTGTCTTGTCTTCATACTTACATTTTTGTAAAAAAAAAAAAAAAAACAAAACAAAAAAAAACAAAAAACAAGATTTAGGTTGTATTCTCTAGGCATGTATAGGTAACAGCTAATACTGATAAATCCCTTGAAAGGGGATGTCTGCATTTTAGTGTTATTTTACCTTTAGGATTATCACATGGAAAATATTTAATGGAGATTCAAGATGAACATTATCTTACTGAACTAATGGAGAGCAAAAGAAAATGTTTCCATGTTTTTGTTTCACTTGAAGTTTAAAGTTTTTTAACTTGCATTTTCTTACATTTTAAAATTTCCTGTTAATGATTATTTATTTGCTATCTGTTTAGAAAGGTGATTTCTTTTGTCTACCAGTGTTGTAATACTATTTGTAAAGTGAAATGTATTACTTAAAACAAAACATTATTTAAAGAAAGAATGAACACAAACAAGTTTATTATTTGAGAGGCAGAAAAATTAATACTGACTTAAGTGGTAGATTTTCTTATAATTAATTAGTAAAAGTTAGTAACTTGGAACCATGATCAAGATTTTGATATATTCTATGTTTATGTAGGATTTGGTGTTGTTTTTATGTTGTTTGGGTTTTTTTGTTTGTTTGTTTGTATTTTGAGACAAGATCTTGCTGTGTAGTTCAGGCTGGTCTTGAACTCATTGTGTAGCCTAGGCTTGCCTCAATCTCAAATCAATCCTCCTGCCTCAGCCTTGAGAGTGCTAAGGTTACAGAGTACACTACCACTCCTGGCCTTGATGCTTTTTTGTCTATGATTTTTTGTTAATTTTGTTTCTTTGCATAAATTTGTCTTGTCTTGATCAGATTTATTGCAGAAACATGAATTCCCATCTCTTTAAATGCCTAATAGGTTTTCATCAGCTTCTGTTGGTGGAGAAGGTTACTATTTATTATCTCATTCTCCTACATAACTATATTTGTTACTCATAGTAGTAATTTATAATTACTCTATTTTTTCATATATATTCTTACAGTATTCTTTCTCTAGAAGACATGTGCTATTTCCTCTTATATATTATTCTTTCAGTAGAAGTCAGATGCTATGTTTCCTTAAATGTGCCTGTGCAAAACCCCAGTCATTATCTACCTTTAATATTTCTAGATTTTATGGTATCAGTGATATATATGTCTAAACATCTTGGTAAGCTTTTGCTGTGTCTTATGACTTATACTCACATTATTTCCTCTGACCTCTGTTAATGTTGTGTTTTTTCCTAAATAATTGTTCAGTCATCGGTCAACAAACTTTTCTTATGTGGACTTAAACACTCAGGATCTTTCTATCAAAATTTTTTTCAAAAAATGTTTTTACTGGGCTGGTGAGATGGCTCAGTGGTCTAAAGCATCTACTTAGAACAAGCTAAGCTACGCAAAGCACAGGGACCACAGTTCAATCCCCCAGCACCACATGCCAGCCAGCCCGCCCCCTGGTGGACTGAGCTGGCCACACACACACAAAATAAATAAATAAATAAATAAATATTAAAAAAAAAAATGTTTTTACTCAAGAGGTATTAATGCTTGTTTACTTACGGATGTTAAGTAAGATAGTGGAATGAAAACTATTTGCAAATTAATGTCTTAACTTTTTCCTATAGCTACAGTCATTTAGTACTTCAACTTAGATTTCTTTGTTATATTCTATAAAGTTATGGAAATTAGTACTATATTTAAAGGCCTCGCTGAAATCAGGGTACATTGGTTCTTGTTCCAGTCTAGTGATCCTTATTAAAAGTAAAAAGTTTGGGGCTGGGGAGATAGCTCAGTAGAATAAAGTGCTTGGCTGGCAAGCGCAAGGTCCTGAGTTCAATCCCAAGTTCCACCAAAAAAAAGAAAGTAAAAAGTTCAGCTTGCTATTTATGATTTGTAATGGCACCCAATTAATATTGCTGTTTTATCTACATCATCATAAATCATCTTCTTATATTCTAAAATATATGATGCTTACTTATATATGCATCTTAAATAGTCCCCCCCCCCCGAATTTTTTTTTTTTTTAAGACAGGGTCTTGCAGTGCAATTCTGGGTGGCCTTATGCTCACTTTTGTAGCACCTAGGCTGATTGTGAACTTGCAGAGATTTTCCTGTCTCAACTTCCTGAATGCTGGGATTACAGGCAAGCACCACCATGCTTGGTTTCCCAGAACTTGTAAAAAGAGTTTACAGCTGATAACTGAGATGTTTATATCTAGCATTTCCTTAATCCTTACAACCTACTTTTGATATTCTATGGGAGAGAAAAAAACTTAAGATAGTGAACTTATGTTATAAGTAATAGTAATTATTAATAAAGTATCCTTGCCAGGAAAAAAACAGAACAAAACTTTTGGGACAGTTCCTATATGCCAAGAGCACTGTTCTGTGTGTTTTTAAATCTGATTTATTTAAGCCTCAGAAACAAGTCAAACCCTATCATTGCTATATTACAGATGAGGAAACTGTGCCTTAAGTGGCAAGAATGGAACCCAGTTGCCCTGCTTTCAGAGCATACATTTTTTTTGAAGACAGTTCAGATTGGCTTTGAACTCATGAAACTCTTCCTGCCTCACCCTCTCAAGTGCTGAGATTACAGCCATGTGCCACTATACCTAGCACAGAGCATACACTATGATGTATTATTATATACATGTATATATGATGTGTATATACATCTCTAGTGTATACACTAGGGATGCTGCAGTTATTATGTACTGCAGCATCTCTAGCAATTAGTAATACTAGAATTTTTTTTTTTTTTTTTTTTTTTTTAAATGCTAGGGGTTGAGCCCAGGGCCTGCACACCCAGGGCTTCATTCTCAGCCCCTTCAATTTTTTATTTTAAGACAGATTCTTGCTAAATTGCCCAGGCTGGGCTCAAACTTGTAATCCTTCTTCCCTGGCCTCTCAAAATGTAGGAATTATTGGTGTGCCTACCTCATCTGGCCCTGGTATCTTAAAGTCAAGTAAATTGAATTCCAATATCTATGCTAGTTCTCCTTTACCATTCTGTCTCCAAAGTGACTAGATACATGCTGCCTTTAATTAATTAGTGTAGGGACAGTAACTCATGTGGAAATTATTCTTGTTGAAAGTCAGTAAGAATTGGTTCTTATACTGTCCTGTTTTGTTACTTATTTGTATTCTGTCAGGGCAAAACTTGCAGTTTGTTCTTTTTATAGGAATTTTTGTGGTATTTTGTGTATACCTCTTTACTGTCTTTAATCCTTTTGACTAGATGATACTCTTTATTTTTTATTAGTGTCCTTTCTTTTTTTTTTTTTTGGCGGAACTGGGGATTGAACTCAGGCCCTTGCACTTGCCAAGCAAGCACCATCTCCCTGGCCCCATTAGTGTCCTTTTCAAATGCAATTTATTTATCTATCTCTATATGCTATCACCTTTGGTTTCCTTGATACTTTTCCTTTTCTTTGGGATTTATATGGCTCTGTGAGTAGACTTGAAAGATCTAGCCTGGTTTTTAGAAACTTCCTTGCCTACTTTCTTAGCCTATTTTATTTGCTTTCTTTTGCTATTATAATATCTAAGATTACATGATTACTTGTGTCCTTGCTGTACTGCTTGCTTGCTTCATTGCATTGCTTTACTGGGTATTGAATCCAGGGGATTCACACTGAGCTACATCTTCTGCCCTCTTTTATTTTTATTTTGAGACAGGACCCACCATGCTAAGTTTCCCACATGGGAATTGAACTTCTGATTCTACTGCCTCAACCCTCGAAGTGCTGGCATTACATGTGTGTCACTATCCCCAGTTTCTATTTTTATATGACCAACCAGGTTCCATCTGTACTGTCTTCCTAATTTTGCCATAAATTAAGTATGAAAATATTTAGGCAATCAAAACGTAAGTTTTTCACTTATGAGTAAGAGGAGTATATATTCTTTTGCTAGGGTTGCTATAATAAAATATCACACACTGGATAACTTAAGTAGTATTTTCACAGCTGGGCATGGTGGCACACTTCTGTAATCCAAGTATGGGAAGTTGAGGCAAGAGTATCAGGAATTCAAGCCCACCTGGCTACATAGCAAGTTTGAGGCCAACCTGGACTATATGGTAAGACCCTGTCTTGAAAATAGCAACAACACCAAAAAGTCTATTTTTCATTATTATCATTATCAAGTCTTATGTAAAGTGCATAACTGTATGCACTATACTTTGATGTGACTGGCAGCTTAGTAGGTTTGTTTAAAGTAGCATAGACAGAAAAGGAGCATTAACCTTTGACATCACTCAACAATAGGAATTTTTGGCTCCATTATCTTATTGAACCACTGTTAATGTATGCTATCATTGAAATGTCTTATGCACTGCATGGCTAGTTGAATGTATAAGAAAGATGGAGATTTGGGAATATGTTTGTTACCTTTCAGTATTGAAATCTTAAACATGTTATCTTTCAGTATTGAATATGTTACCTTTTGGTATTGAACATTTCAGTGTTTTATTCTGAAGAGTAAGATTGTCAGTTTTGAATGTGTTCTCAGATAACCACATCAAAGTCAGTCCTATGTGGTACCTCCACAGTATGAATTTATGCACTGTTGTTAAAATAGGAAAATAACAGTATGAGTATGTTATGTTGATTTGTGCATGATTTTCTCTAGACTAGAGGATTCTGAATAATAGGAGTTTGACTTTATATTTCATCAAGAAGAAATATTCAGTTCAGCTGCTGCACAGGCAAATGCCCCTTAACTTGTATTTCATTTTCTTCTCTTCTTCCTCTTCCTCCTGTTCCTCCTCTTCTTCCTCCTCCTCCTCCTGTTTTCCTTTTTCTTTTCTTACTAAGAGTCATAATCTGCAGTAGAGGCTCCCTTCCCTGAGAGGTAGAGCCTAGCAGAAATTCTTCCAATATGGCTTTGCATTTCCTTTTATGGCTTTTTGTTTTGTTTCTTTGCGATATCTCATGTTTCAGGATGGCCATGAACTCACTGTGTAGCCCAGGCTGGTCTCAAACTTGAAGTGAGTCTGTTATCTCAGACTTTAGAGTGCTAGGATTAGAGGAATGTGCCACCACACACGGCTGTCCATTTTAACTTAAATAAGTGCTGCTTATTTAAATCTCCACCATTGAGGTCTTTTTAAGTCCTTATTTCTACCTCATTTTTTTTTTGATACCTTTCTTATGCTCTGAGGTAACAGTCCAACTACTTTTACCTGCCTGTCAAGAGTTGCTTAAGTAATTTCTGGAGGTCCCAGTCATTGTTTTTATTAGTGCCATTACTTACAGAGTTACAGGAGTATTAAGTAATCTGCTCTAACATTCTCTTTTTTGGAACTCATTTTTTCCCTAAGACTTGGTACTTTTAGTGTTGTAGAATGTAGATTTTCAGGAATGAATGTTTAGGGGAGCTATACTAAGAAACTTCTTTCAGGGGAAGCTGGAATTTTAAGCTTAAATTTAAGCTTTGTTGTCTTTGCTTTTGAACGACTTTATAAAGAGAGCCTTTGGGCCAGGGATGTAGCTCTGTGGCACAGTGCCTGCCTGGCCAATGTGAGGTCCTAAGTTTGATTCCTGGTACCAAAAAAGAAAAGCAGGGAGAAGGGGACCCTATCTTTTCTAGTAATGGAAATCCCATGTTTTAAGTGTGAAACTTCCTGCTCACCATTTTGAAATGCAAGGAAATATTAAACAGTAAAAATTTTGTTGTAGATGACTGAAACATTTTGTACAGTAGAACTATCTTATTTTGTTGGAGCAGCCTAAAATTAAATGAATTGCTGTGCAAAAGTATAAGTGTATATGGAATGCGTTTTGCAAGAACATCTTATTTTATAATTTTGCCATTGGGCTGGGGATATAGCTCAGTGGCATATGCGCCTGCCTGGCAAGCGCAAGGTCATGAGCTCGATCCCTGGTACAAAAACAAAAAAAGACTTTAAGAATGTAATTTTGCCATCTACAATATCATTGTTTATTTAAAAAATAATATAATATTCAACCTTTCAGAAATGTGTGATAGTATATTGTATTATTTGCTTGGGTAAAATCATCAAATACAAAAATTTTGTAAAGTTTATGGCAGCTAAATAATGCTGATGTATATAAATCACGTAGAATTACATATTTGAAAATGTACAGATACAAAAGTTACATTTCTTGGTATATAGGTCTTGTTATATCTTGGTCTTAACCATCCAGCAGAAAAGTATAAAAATGAGGTATATAGGGCCGGGGAGATGGCTCAGTAGAATAAGCGCTTGACTGGCAAATGCAAGGATCTGAGTTCAATCCCCAGTTCCGCAAAAAAAAAAATGAGGTATATAAAGTAAATCTATATTAATACAATGAGCTGTAAAAGGCTCAAGTCAATAACTTCTGAAGATAACCCACTAATATTATAGACTGCTAGACAGTGTTAGATTGTTTAGTTGAATTCAAACACCTATAATATTTAGATGCCAATATATTATTCACCTCTGACAGGACAAAAAATAAAAAAATAAAAAGGATACAAAGGAAAGATCATTTTTTATTTATATATACAAAATAGGATAAATCTACAGCTACTTTCGCTTAATTCAATGAGAAGAAAGAGGTGTACTAACAGTGTTTGAAAAAAAACAAAAACAACAGTGTTTGGACAGAATATCCTGTCTGCTTCTTGTACTATGGATAACCACTAAGAAGATAACAATGTACAGTGTATTGACTATCAAAACTGTCTTATTAATCAGCTGTGAAACTTTTATTCATATTAATTTCTCAATAAAAAAATAAATATATGTATATACATATAAAAAGAAATTGTAGTTCTTTTCAGTGTGTTTCAGGTAGTCTCCCTAAATCAAGGAATTATAGGGGAATATTATAATAGTATAAGAAAAAGACTCAGGCAATAGATGAATAGAAAATTTTGCAAATGAGAAAAATAGCTGTGTAAATGGAGAAATGAGTGGTATAACTTAATTATAAAGTGCTTGCCTAGAAAGTGTGAGGCCCCGGATTCAGTCCCCAGCACTGTAAAACAAACAAAATAAAGAAAACTAAATCAGGCTAATGGTTGGAACTATATTGTTTTAGTCGGTAACACTCCAAGAATAGTATTGGCTGGTCATGTCAACCTGCCCAAAATAGGGCAACAAATAGAGCTTTGAATCCTAAGTGTTAATGTGGGTGTTTAAATAATTGAGGCAGTGGAGGTGTGGCAATTGGCAGGCCCTGTTTTTTGGCAGTTTAGTGTCACTGAGATGCCTTCTTGTATCCTTAGTACTCAAGAAAATGTTTTCCTAAGAACAGTTATAACAGTAAGGGAAAATTGACTAAAAATTTAGAGCACATTGTACAATTATAGTTCGGAAATTTTAGGGGAGCTTCACAAAGAATCTGAATCATAGGATGTCAAAATTGTGGTATGTTGTTACTTCGTTGATATTTTTAAAACAAAATTTTCCTGTTTTTCTTTTTTAAATTTATACTCTTTGATATTAATGGCACTTTGTTTCTTCAGGATCTGAAAGAGAAAATATACCATATTTTATCATTTAAAACAATGTAACATACAAGGAAGAATAAATGTGCTCAGTGGTTTTTTTTTTTTTTTTTTGTCCTCTTATATCTTAAGGAAGAGAGAGAAAATCCTTCGAAACGAAGTAGGATTGAACGTGATATAGATAATAATTTGATCACATCAACACCAAGAGCAGGAGAAAAGCCTAACAAACAGATATCTCGAGTAAGACGGAAAAGTCAAGTAAATGGAGGTTTGTTTACTGTTTTACTTAGGTGAAGCAGAGATCTCATTGACATGCTTTTTACCTGTTTTAAAAAAAATCTGCTTTAGCAATTTTTGCCTTATTTTTATAATCTTTTATATTCAGTATTAGTAGCATGAGTGAAATAAAAATTTGTCTTCCAAAAGATTTATACTTTGAATTAGAATAAAGAGACACTATTTGGCATAATAGTATAAATAGATTGGGCTATAGTTACATAGCTCAGTGGTAGAGCATTTATTTGCCTAGAATTCATGGAGCCTTGGGTTCAGTTTCTAGAGCACACACGCCGGTATATGGATCAACATTTTTTTTTAACCTCTAACAGTTGCACTTCTTAGAGAAGTAATAATTGTAACTTAATTTGAGATATGTACAAAAACTTGCTTCTGGATCATGCTATTTTAGGGCTAAAAAGGTACAGTACTTAGGTCATTTAATCCAGTAGTTCTCAACTAGAAGTGGTTTTGTTCCTGTAGGATACTTACTAATAATACCTGGAGACCTTTATAGTTGACACACCCTATAGAGCAGGGTTATATAAGCATCTAGCAAATAGAAGTAAGGTTGCTAGCAAGCATCCTATAGTGCATAGTACAGCCCATCACAGCAAAAAATTATCAGGCCTAAGGGTCAATATTAAACTGGTTTTAGGGGAGATGGCTCAATGGAATAAGTGCTTCCCTGGCAAGCGCAAGGACCTGAGTTCAATCCCCAGCTCTGCCAAAAAATAAAATGAAATAAACTGGTTTTAGCACTTACTGAATAGCTGAGAAGCTTCTCAAAGTTAACAATAAGAAAAACATTAAGGACAAGTAGAAAGAGATAATAAAGAACAACATTTTAGAGCATGGAGTTATATTTTAATTAAAGCTGTTTTCAAGAGGACAGCATTAACAGTGTGTTGGGTCCCTCTCATCAGTACAATAACATTTTTATTATTTGAAGTGACTAGTGAGGTCCAAAAGGAGACTAAGATGGGTAAGGAGACAAGATAGGAGATAAAAGAGAGAAAGAAACAAGTTCTAAAAGGTTTAACAAAGCTGGGTGTAGTGGTGCACACCTGTAATCCCAGCACTTGGGAGGCTGAGGCAGGAGGAGCTCTGTGACTTGATGGCCAGCCTAGGCTACGTAAGCAAGTTTGAGGCTAGCAAATCCCTGTCTAAAAAAAAAAAAACCTAACAAGAAAGGAAAGAAATGTAGCCACCCAGTTGATTTTATATTTGTATTTTCTAAAAAAAAAAAAAAGAATTTTTTTACTAAAAAGATGCTAGGTGTGGTGACACAGACCTGTAATCCCAACACTGGGCGTGGCAGAGATAGGAGGATCTCCATAGTTCAAGGCCAGCCTGAACTATGTAGCAAGACCCTGTCTCAAAAATTTTTTATTCTGCTTACAAGAATCTTATAAATAAGTGTTTATTCATTTTATCCACCTCAGTGTCCATGCATGTTTTTGTTTGTGTTTTGCAGGAGGTGGTGCTGGGGATTGAACCCAACGCCCCACTCATACTAGGTGAATCCACTACCACTGAGATATCCCCAACCCTCCTAAGTAATTGTTTGGAAATCAGTTTTTAAAATCAGGTGCTTTTATAATTCTGACCATACAAGGTTCTCATATTACTTTGGAACTCATAAGTAATTTTTGACTCTGCTATAATATTGTCTTCTTCAGTAGAGCTGTGTTTCCTCTAGTCATATAGCTCTTATTCATTAAAAATAGCTGTGAAGGAGGGCAGGCCAGATAGCTCAGCAGATTAAAGCCCCTGCTTAGGCAGATGCAGGGACCAGGGTTTGATCTCCCCCACCCCCTGCAATTGAGATTGAGCGTGGTGGTGAAAGCCTGTAATCTCAGCACTTGAGAGGCTGAAAACAGGAGGATCACTAGGAGTCCGATCTCTGTAGTGAGACCCTGTAGAACTTGTACTAAGTATATATATATGAAAAGTAGATGTGAAGGGAAGTTTTATGAAGGAGGCAGCACCCCCATATGCAGACAGAAACAGTCTTACATTTATGTTTTTGATACTAGTAAAATGCTTGCAGGGTGGGGAGATGGCTCAGTAGAACGCTTGCCTGGCAAGCGCAAGGGCCTGAGTTCAATCCCCAGTTCTGCCAAAAAAAAAAAAAAAGAAAAGAAAGAAAACCCAATAAAACAAAACATGCTGGCTTGCAAAGAATTTTGTAATGGATTTGAAGACTTTAAATGATTTTAAATGTAATTGTACTTTGGGAAAATTTAGCCTTTATAAATTATTATAAATACAATAAGATCAAATGATTTAGAATTGATTTATTTTATGATTTCTTTCTTTTTTATTTTTTTCCATATATGTATTTGGTGTAGGGTCTCACTACACAGCTCAGACTCAGTGATCCTCCTGTTTTTAGCTTCCCCAGCTCTGGGATTATGGGCATGCACCACCATACCTGGACTGGCTCAGTGCATCCAGGGGATGGGGCCAGCACAGCATACAGAACCCTGGTCCCTGCCCTTGACAAAGCTGGTGCTTAGTCTGCTGAGCTATCTTGCTGGCCCTCTTTTTTTTTTTTTTTTTTTTTTTTTTTTTTTTTTTGTTCAGGGTCTCACTACACAGCTCAGACTCATGATCCTGCTGTTTTCTGCCTCCCTGGTGCTGGGATTACAGGCATGTACCACCACACCTGTACTCCCATCACTAGCTCAGCACGATCAAGGGCTTGTCGGCCATGTGTTTTTGTTGTTTGTTTATTTGGTGGTTTTTTTGTTTTTTTTAACAGGGTTTTGCTATGTAGTTCAGGCTGGCCTTGAATTCACTATGAAGCCCGGGCTGCCTCAAACTCACAGCAGTCTTCTGTGTCAACCTGTGACTGCTGAGGTTACGGGCATGTGCCACCAGAACTGGCTGTTTCATATCTCTTAATAGCACTTCTGAACATTAATGAGTTTTCATGAAGTGATTTTTAGGGGTATTTATAAAATGACTATTTATAACAAATTTTTAGAAGTCAATATTTTGTTGATCACAAACTTTTTGTTTTTCTTAGAAGCTGGTAGTTATGAAATGACAAATCAACATGTAAAACAAAATGGGAAATTAGAAGATAATCCTTCCTCTGGCAGTCCTCCAAGGACAACGTTGTTGGGGACCATATTTTCTCCTGTCTTCAACTTTTTTTCACCAGCAAATAAAAATGGTAAGTTATAGCCATTTTCATGTAGTCAAGTATTGACTATAATTTGAGTTTTAAAAATTATTCACTGAATCGTTTTTGTCTTTTTACTTCTAATCGTATGTTTCTGAATAATAATGCAGTTTAAATAAGACCTAACATAGTGTAAAATCAAGATGTCTCAAAGGAGAAAATGCTGTAATACATACTGTCACTTGAAAGGACTAGATTCCTATAAGAGAAACAAAAAAGAACAAAAGACTGCTTTTAACTGTTCGATCCTATCTATATCTCCTAGACATATATGAACATATATAAATATCTTATAGAAGTAGATGCTAGTTTATTAGAATTGGTGACAAAAAGGAAAGAAAATAGATTTATGTTTTATATTTGGCAATAGTGTGTAGATTATATCCTACAGAGACTGGGACAATTAGACTTATACATATGAGACTTTTTTTTTTTTTTCCCCGCTTACATATTTAACACAGGTCTCAGAACGCAGTTCAGACTCGTAGTGATCCTCCTGTTTTCAGCCTTCCCAGCATGGACCACCACACCCTTAGCTCTGGTCTTGGCTCAGCATGTGGGGGAAAGGGGATGACCGAGGCAGGCACTTAGTCTGGCTGAGTTATCTTGCCAGCCCTCATATGAGACTTTTAATTGTAATTCTATGAAAGAGAATGAATCAGAGAATGTAAGATGGACAAATTGCCACAGGTGGGATGTGAAAGAGAAAAGAGATTATGAAAATCAGGAGTACAAAATTCAAGAAACATGGGCCAGGGGCTGGGGAGATAGCTCAGTGATCTATGCACTTGCCGAGGCAAGCACAAGTACCCAGGTTTGATCCCTGGTACAGCCTTGGGCACAGCTAGCAGGCACCAAGACTGGGCATGGTAGCACTCACCTGTAATCCCAGTGCTGGTGGGGCTGAAACAGGAGGATTACTGCAAGTGTGAGCTATGTAGTGAGACCCTGTACCAAATACATAAAGCTAAAAAAAAAAAAAAGATTTAAGAAAGATAATAAAGTGCTCATATTTCAAAGCCTGGTATTATTGAGTCAGGGAAAATAAGATGTAGAATAAAAGAAAGAGGACTTTTTCATAATTAGTTTGCTGTGAGAGCACAGGTGTGGTGAAATCCACCACTAAGTCAAAGCCAACAGGGGAAAGGAAAAGACTCATGTTAATACCATTGTCATGGGACACATGGACTCTGGCAAGTTAACCATTACCAGCCATCCGATCTACAAATGTGGCATCTACAAAAGAACCGTTGAAAAATTTAAGAAGGAAGCTACTGAGATGGGGAAGGGTTCCTTCAAGTATGCCTGGGTCTTGGACAAGCTGAAAGTCAAGTGTGAGTGTGGTATCACCATTGATATCTCCCTGTGGAAATTTGAGACCAGTAAGTATTATGTGACCATCATTGATGCCCCTGGACACAGAGACTTCATCAAAAACGTTTTAGGCACATCTCAGGCTGACTGTGCTGTCTGATTGTTGCTGCTGGCATTGGTGAATTCAAAGCTGGTATCTCCAAGAACGGGCAGACCCGTGAGCATGCCCTTCTGGCTTACACACTGGGTGTGAAACAACTAATTGTTGGTGTTAACAAAGTGGATTCCACAGAGCCACCCTACAGCCGAAATACATACAAGGAAATTGTTAAGAAAGTCAGCGCCTACAATAAGAAAATTGACTAAAACTCTGACTCTGTAGCTTTTATGCCAATTTCTGGTTGGAATGGTGACAACATGCTGGAGCCAAGTGCTAATATGTCTTGGTTCAAAGGATGGAAGGTCACTCGTAGAGATGGCAATGCCAGTGGAACCACACTGCTTGAAGCTTTGGATTGCATCCTTCCACCCACTCGCCCAACTGACAAGCCTTTGCGGCTGCCCCTCCAGGATGTCTACAAAATTGGTGGTATTGGTACTATCCCTGTGGGCCAACTGGAGACTAGTGTTCTCCAACCCAGCATGGTGGTCACCTTTGCTCTAGTCAACGTCACAACTGAAGTCTGTTGAAATGCGCCATGAAGCTTTGGGTGAAGCTCTTCTGGGGACAATGTGGGCTTCAGTGTCAAGAACCTGTCTGTCAAAGATATCTGGTGTGGCAGTGTTACTGGTGACAGCAAAAAGGACCCACCAATGAAAGCAGCTGGTTTCACTGCTCAGGTGGTTATCCTGAACCATCCTGGCCAGATCAGTGCTGGCTATGCTCCTGTCCTGGCTTGTCACATGGCTCACATTGCTTGCAAGTTTGCTGAGGTGAAAGAAAAGATTGATCACTGGTCTAATAAGAAGCTGGAAGATGGGCCCAAGTTTTTGAAATCTGGTAGTTGTTGACATGGTTCCAGGCAAGCCCATGTGTATCAAGAGCTTCCTTGACTATCTACTTCTAGGTCATTTCGCTGTTCGCAATATGAGACAGACAGTTACTGTGGGTGTCATCAAAGCTATGGACAGGAAGGCTGCTGGAGCTGGCAAGGTCACCAAGTCTGCCCAGAAAGCTCAGAAGGCTAAATGAATATTATCCCTAACACCTGCCACCCCAGTCTTAATCAGTGGCGGAAGACTGATGGTATTGGTGGTATTAGTACTATTCCTATAGGCCAACTGGAAACTGGTGTTCTCAAACCCAGCATGGTGGTCACCTACCACCAGTATCTCAGAACTGTTTCTTCTAATTGGCCATTTAAGTTTAATAGTGAAAGACTGGTTAATGATAACACATTGTAAAACCTTCAGAGCAAAGGAGAATGTTTTGTGGACTTATTTTTTTTTTAGTGTGTGTGTGGCAGTTTTTAAAATCAGTCCCCCACCCCCAACCCACCCCCCGTACTTACTGGGGATTGAACTCAGGATCTTGCGCTATCTCCCCAGCTCGTACTTTTTTTTTTTTTTGGCAGAACTGGGGATTGAACTCAGGCCCTTGCCAGGCAAGCACTTATTCTACTGAGCCATCTCCCAGGCCCTCTCGTACTTTTTTTAATCTAGGAAAAAATGAATACTTTTTAATGGAGACAGCTTGACCAAAAATCTGTCACAGGATTTTGAGACCCATTAAAACAAAGTTTAATGAGAAAAAAGTATCCTCAACTTTGTTCTTCTTTGAACTACCCATTTAAATAAGTTGTACAGTGGTAATTGCATTTACTTTTCCTAAGTAATACAATTTTTAAGTGATGATCTTGTGCTAAATGATGATTTCAGGAACATCAGGATCAGATTCACCAGGACAGGCTGTGGAAGCTGAAGAGATAGTAAAACAACTTGATATGGAACAGGTGGATGAGATCACTACCAGTACTACTACATCAACTAATGGAGCCACTTACTCAAATCAAGCGGTTCAAGTGAGGCCATCGATAAATAATGGTTTAGAAGAAGCAGAAGAAACAGTTAATCGTGATATCCCACCCCTTACAGGTAAGAAAAGTTCTTTAAAAAAAGAAAACTTAAGTAGTTAATAAAGCATGCTATTATTATTTAAATGAGCTGATTAAATACTTAAATTTTTGTTGAAGTTAAAAAAAAAAAGGAAACCAAACTTCATCCCAAAAATCGAAGTCATTATTTGAACTTGTAGGACTGTGGGCACTTCCTAGAAGTAGTCTCATACCTTCAGATTTGCTTTATACCTAAATGATACCAACAACAACCTTGGGCACTTCTGTTCTTGGATTTCTTCTTGTGTCCTGTTGTTGCTGCCCAACTCTGGATTCTTAAAAAGCCCTAAAATAATTGTTGTGTTCCTGAGCCAGTTGATACTGAAATGTGGAAACATTTATTAACCCCTGAGAGCTGTGGTATAAAAAAGTATAAGATGACAGAAGTGGGTATTTTTTTTTTTGTTTTTGTTTTTGCTCCAAATGCCTTCAAGGCATGTTTGGCTGGCTTGAGTTGTGGGGATCGAACCACAGCAGCCTGAGCCTGACTGCTTTGTTGAAGCAGCCACTTAAAGAACTGAGCTAAGGGGCAGGCCCCCAAAAAAGTATAAGATGAAATTATGGCTGAGTGTGGTGGCGCACACCTATAAACCCAGCATTCAGGAGGCTGGACAGAAGGATTGCCTAGAGTTTGAGACCAGCCTGGGCTATACAGTGACTTCAAAGCCACCCTGTGTCAAAAAAAAAAAAAAAAAAAAAACAGAGAAAGATAAAAAATTGTGTTCTACTGTTCTTAAAAGTGAAATAAAACCAAGGATGGGCTATCTTCTCCCTGTGGGGCAGATTTTATCCTAAATTTGTTTTCTGTCCCTTGTACTACGTATTTGAGGTTATTTTTGTTTGTTTTAGTTTTTGGCGGTACCAGGGATTGAACTCAGGACCTTGTGCTTGCTAGGCAAGCATTTATTCTAGTGAGCTATCTCCCCAGCCCCCAAAATAATTTTGAGTGGAATTTCTTTTTTTTTTTTTTTTTTTTTTTTTATTTTTTTAGTACAGGGTGTACAGGGTCTCACTACATAGATGGGACTCATAGTGATCCTCCTGGGTTCAGCCTCCCAAGAGCTGGGATTACAGGCACGTGCCACCACACCCAGTCTGTGTACCACATATTTGAGAGAGCCTAGAAAATTTGTATTAGTGTTAAGAAATATGGGGGGGGGGAACCAAAAAAAAATATAGAAAGAAAAAGATACATGATTTGGGGCCAGCCAGATAGCTCAGGGGATTAAAGCACCTGCTTAGGCAGATGCAGGGGCCAGGTATCCCCAGTGTGCCATGCCAGCCCTGTCCCTGGCACACACTGAGACAGTGAAAGAGACTGGGCATGGTAGCACATGCCTGTAATCCCAGCACTTTGGAGTCTCAAAACAGGAGGATCACTACGAGTCTGATCTGTGTAGTGAGACCTTGTAGACCCTGTACTAAATACATTAAAAAAGAAAAGAGATATGATTTGGATCCATGATCCCAGCACTTAAGGAGGCTGAGACAGGAGGTTCACTGCAAGCTCAGGGCCAGCTAGAGTTGAGGCCCCAGCCTGAATAATAGCAAGGTACAATCTCAAAAAAAAAAAAAAAAAAAAAAAGGTTTGAGGGCCGGGGAGATGGCTCAGTGGAATAAGTGCTTCCCTGGCAAGCGCAAGGGCCTCAGTTCAATCCCCAGTTCCACAAAAAAAAAAAAAAAATGTTTGGCATGAGGCAATAGAATAATATAGATACTTTTCTTAAATATAAAAGAGATTTTTTAAAAAGTAATTGAAATAGGAGAGGGTAAGGAGCAAAGCTGGGAAACAGCACAGGGACAAAGCCATACACTTGTATGTACAAGATGGGCAAGGCAATGATTCTGAGAAACATCAAGTTTTTGAAGCTAGCAGTCAATTGGTAGGTTTCTCACCCTATGTGTGCTGATACCTGTGAACCAAGCAGCTGCACTGAAGATAGCAGTGTGTAATAGAAGGGTCACGCTTGGAATGCCTGTCATTCTGGTCTTCTAAATACATACTTCTTGTCATGACATTGCAATTATTACTATACTGTCTCACAAGTAAAGGGTTTTTTTTTTGTTTGTTTGTTTTTTGTTTTTCTTTTTTAAAATGGGTAATAAATGAAAAAAAAAAAGAAAAAGAAAAAAAGTCACAGGACTGTACTGCTACAATGCTGTATATGATTAGATTTCTAAATTTCTGTGTAAAAATATGTATTTATTCCTGTTTTTTAAATATTTTTTTCTTAATATTCTGTAAAGACTTAAATTTCAACATATCAATACTTGATGGAAGATACCTGTTCCATGTTATGCCTAAGATGTTCGCTATTTAGACAGATAGGGTAAACTGAACTGTATATGTTGCAGGGTAATAATAAGCTTCTCTTCTGGAGGTTTAACAACCTAAGTTTGCAGATCAAAAATTGGAGAAAAGGAGGGGCTGCAAGGTCAGCCAACACTTTGGCTCTAGCCTTGCAAGGTCAGTGAAGACTGAGGACGTAAGAGAACCTGTACTGTAACATCATGTAACTCAGTTGTGCCCTGAATTTTCTGATCAAGGAGATTATGGAGCCACAAAGGAATGTGATTGATGATGTAGAGTGTGCCCAAGGAGAGTCACATGGAGAGAAAACTTTCTCTCAGGCTTCCACAGAGAGCAAACTGGTCAAGCATTGGCCGTGACTCATCCTCATGGCTGACATGGACAAAGGATCTACAAAGTGCAGTACAGGGTTACAGGATAAATCCTGAGGGGAGTTGACTGACCTTATCAGATACAAAAGTTATATTTCTTATTATATAGGTCTTGCTTTATCTTGGTCTTAACCATCCAGCAGAAAAGTATAAAAACAAGGTATGTAAAGAAAAGCCATATAAATATGCTGAGCTGTAGAAGGCTTTAGTCAGCAACTTCTGCGGACAACCCCCTACTGTTGTGGACTACTGGACTGTGTCGGATTGTTTTGCTGAATTCAAGCACCTATAATATTTAGATGCCAATAGACTACCCATTTCTGACAGGACTGAACCGAAGAGGGGGGGATACAAAGGAAGGACCATTTTGTATTTGTATATACAGAATAGTTAGGATAGATGTACGGCTGCTTTCGCTTGGTTCAGTGAGAGGAAGGATTTGTAGTAGTGTAGTGTTTGGATGGGATGTCCTGGGTGCTTCTTGTGCTGTGGATGACCACTGAGAAGATAACAATGTGTAATGTATTAATTATTGAAAATGTCCTGTTAATCAACTTGGAAAGTGTCTCATTAATATTTGTTTCTCAATAAAATTAGAAAATAAAGTAGTTGAAATAGCAGGAAACTTCCTTTTTTGAGCCATTTTCCCTATGTAATTCAGGCTGGCCTCAAATTTACCATGATTTTCCTACCTGAGCCTCCTGAGTACTGAGATTATAGGTGTGCATGACCATGCCTGGCTACAGTAGGAAACATGTCATTTTTATTTTTATTTATTTATGTTTTTTGTTGTCTGTTTGAGTTTTTTTGCAGAGCCGGGGATTGAACTCAGGCTTATTCAACTGAGCTATCTCCCCAGTCCCAGGAAACATTTTAAAGAAAAAAAAAAAATACACTTATGAGGTTTCTATACAGGATACCCTAACAATGCTGTTGCGAAAAAAAAAGTGGTAAATAGTTATATTTTAATGTTAAGCACAAAGTTTAGTACTGAATCTTACAAGCAAATCTACTATATTATATAAACAGGTAGTTCATTCTTTCTGGGTAAAACTTGAAAATTGACGTACCTTTGTTCTATCATTTTATGTTGGTTACTTTACCCAAGGTTATAAGGCTAATGAATGGTCAAATATAAAGCCCAGGGTCCTTGGCTTCTTGTTTGATGTTTGTTCTGTTTTTGGACTGTGTTAGTATTTTTTTTCTAACAACTGTGTAGTTGTCCTACTCATTCATTTATTCTCTGGACATGAACCCACATATTTTTATGACAAGAACTGCTGATACAGATAATTGAGGTAGAAAATTACTGTATAGTGTGATGAATACTATTGAAAATGAGTGATGTGACAAAGAGGTATATTGTAGTTACTCTAGGATAGTAAGATTAACAAGGCAACATTGATCATAAAAGATAAATATGATACTTTAGGGCCAGGGAGATGGCTCAGTGGAATAAGCTCTTCCCTGGCAAGTGCAAGGGCCTAAGTTCAATCCCCGGTTCCACAAAAAATAAATAAATAAATAAATAAAATATACTTTGGTGTAATAACAGAGCATATTAAAGTGATTTGTGTTATTAAAAAAATAAACTCTATGAGAAGGGATACAAAAAAAAGATAAATATGAAAATAAACTAAAAAAAGAGAAGAAACTAAAGTAAGGAAAGTTGAAAAAGAGCACAAAAGTACTACTTTTTCCAACTTTGAGAGAGTAGTCAAAAGAACAAGAAGGCAACAGGCTGGCTCTGCCAGTTGCTTACTTTTAAAAAGGTGAAAAGCTGGGTGCAGTGGTGCAAGCCAGTAGTTCTGGGTCCTCCAGAGGCAGAAGTGGGAGAACCACGCAGTCCAGGACTTTAAGACCATCCTGGGCAACGTAATGAGACACTTAAAAAATAAATAAAATACAAGGTTTTAAAGGTTTAAAAGTGATGAAATATGGAAACTACTTAGTTTGTAGGAACTCCGTATATTCTTTCCTTTCTCCGAAGTTACAGGAATTTGAAATACTATAGTAATTGGAAGATTGTTTCCTTTATCCCTTGGTGCTAATAAACCATTATTGGTGTAATTTGTTACAGCTGACTATATCTGATGTGATACATTGGACATGCCTACTAGATGACCTTGTCTAAGAAGATATATCATAATTGTAAAAAGGGTTAGAAAGACTATTCTCTACCAACAGTCCATTTCTATAGAGTGATTACAGCCGTTTCATTGGGTTCCACCTTAAACTTTTTTTTGGATTGAACTCAGGCCCTTGTGCTTGCCAGGGAAGTGCTTATTCCACTGAGCCATCTCCCCGGCCCCGCTCCACCTTAAACTTTTTGTCTCTGACATAATACCTGCTTTCCTTGTAAGGAACTTTTATTCTCTCCAATTTAAGTTATAATTGTTGTGTTAAAAAATTCTTAGTATAATTCTAGAGTGTTATTAATTGATGCGGTCTTATTTTAAACAGTATGAATTATGTGGCATGGAATATAGATTTACCTCATTTGTTTTTGTTTTGAGATAGAGTCTCACTGTATAGTTCAGACTGGCCTTGACCTCACTGGGTAGTGTAGCCCAGGCTGGCCTTAAGCCTGGCAATTCTTCTCTCAGCCTCCTCAGTGCTGGGATTACAGTGTGTGCCAGCACACCCACCTTAGAATTGCTTCTTGATTAAAGTTGCTTGTAAGTTAGAAATAAGGTAAATTTTCTAAAGCAATGATTTCTATATAAAGCAACATTACTTCATAAGAAAGATTACCCCCACCCCCCAGGTCTTGAACCAATGACCTATATGCACTCTAAGCTAGTGATCTACTGCTGAGCTACATCACCAAACAGAAAGCAGAATTTCTTAGCTTATAAAGATCATTGGTAGCCTTGAAAGTCCTAAGACGGTGTACATACATTTTTAAAATAAGCCTTCAATGAGATTCATGAACTGTTTTTTAAAATGCATTTTAATTGGGGGCCGGGGAGATGGCTCAGTGGAATAAGCGCTTCCCTGGCAAGCATAAGGACCTGAGTTCAATCCCCGGTTCCACCAAAAAAAAAAAAAAGCATTTTAATTGATACATTAAAAACTTGGTATTAATGAGGTGTTCCCTATAATGATCAATGCATACATACACTGTATCTTTAAATGAAGTTATCACTCCTTTAGTAATAAAAACATTCAAAAATCCTTTGTTCTAGCCTTTTGAAATGTATAGCACATTACTGTTAACTGTGTTCACCCTCCTGTGTACTCTTTGCTTCTAGCTATAGCTTGATCAGCTTTTCTCCTGACTTCCACCAGCTTCTGATAACCAACATTTGGTGAAATAAACTTTTTTAGATTTTGAATATGAGATCATGTTTTAGTTGTCTTTCTATGCCTGGGTTTATTTCACTTAACCTGTTGATCTTAGCTTCCATCTTCATTGTTGCAAATGATAGGATAATAGACTGTTTTGTCTTGGTGGTGCTGGGGATCTAGTTCTCTACCACTGAACTATATCCCAGTCCCTTAATGGACTTTTTTTGTGGGGGAGGGGGTGTCTTTTTGAGACAGGGTCTCGCTGTGCATTTCAGGCTGGCCTTGAGCTCATTCTGTAACCCAGTGTTGGTCTCAAACTTGCAAACAACCTCCTGCATCAGCCTCCCCCATGCTGGGATTACAGGTGTGTGCCACCATGCCTAGCTTGGTACTTCTTAAAAGATTGTTCTAATAGATCTTAGAACTTAAAACCATATTTGAATCTATTGTCTGCCTATATTCATTTGACAGCCTATATGTGCAAGATGTATTATTTCTACAAGAGCACTTTAAAATCTTTATAGTTATGACATATAAACCCTGTTCAGATAGAAATTAAATTTGTGGAGCATTATTTTTCTAGTTAGTAGTAAATTTTTTCTTAGCTGATAGGGATCTTCGTTCTAATCACTGTGTAGGTTGCCATTTTGTGTGTAGGGGTAATTTTTTCCCTTAGATGTAGAGTTATTTCTGTTACTAATTCTGCTTTTATTGTGGGTTTTTTTGTTTTTTGGTTAGTCTCTTGTATTTTAGGGAAGGGTCTACAGAGTGTTCAGGGCCTCACTGCTACATTGGACTCATAGTGATCCACCTGTTTATAGCCTCCCAAGAGCTGGGGTTATAGGACGTGCACTACCATGCCCAGTCTCAATTGCCATCTCAGTGCGCCCCAGGGGCATGGCCGGTACTGCAGGCCAGGGGATTGAACCCTGGACTCTGTGCCTGCTTGCAGGTGCTTTAATCTGCTGAGCTATTTGGCCGGCCCATTAATTTTGCTTTTAAATTTGGTTTACATATTATTTCTGTCAACTGAAAATACACAGAATCTTGGGAAGAGGTGTTATAGAAAGAGTAGAAGTATGTACTTCCTGATAAAAGGTAACATTTTCCTTTCACTTTATTAAATAGCACCAGTAAATCCAGAGAGTGGTTATTCATCAGCCCATGCAGAGGCCACCTATGAAGAAGACTGGGAAGTATTTGACCCGTGAGTTGTTTTTGTGGTTTAAAATTTTTTCTTTCTTTCCTTAATATTTCATCTTTGTAATGGTACAAAAAAGGTGTATTTGCAATACAAAGCTTACTTTGAAGTGTTTTGTTTTTCTGCCCCCTGTGCCAGCAGTATGTGATAGAATACTTTCTTGTGATGCTGAACCATCTGCAACTCTCAGTCATCCATGTGATAAGGAAGACAATCAGTGCCCTACATTGTACTTTGTTGCTAAGTATTGATATTTGGTAGGTTAGGTATATTAAATGTATTTTCAACTTATGTTTTTAATTTAAGATGAGTTTATCAGAAAGTAATCTCATTGTAAGTGACAAACATCTATTTTATAAAGGACATGAGCTGTAGATAATTACTTTTACTGAGTTAGGGAGATTCAGTTGGCATTTTGCCACTTCTACACACGTTTTGTAAATTTACTTAACTTGGTTAAGTGTGCTTTATGTAAAGGTTTTTAAATAGGCTGAATTTAGAATTATGCTTTATGAAGAAATGTTGAAATTCTCATAATATTTGGTTTATAGCTATTATTTCATCAAACATGTTCCACCACTGACAGAAGAACAGCTAAATAGGAAACCTGCTCTTCCATTGAAAACAAGAAGCACACCAGAATTCTCCCTAGTTTTAGATCTGGTAAGTATATTACATAGCAGTAAAAAGAAGAGAAATTCTCTTTTAGAATACCTAAAAGAATACAGAGAAAGCTGGTGCAGTCGTGCACACCTTTAATCCCAGCATTGAGGGAGACTGAAGCAAGAGGACCACAATTTTGAGTCCCACTTGGGCAACTTTTAAGACCCTGTCTCAAAATAACAAAAACGCCTGGGAATACAGCGCAGTGGTAGAGCACTCCTGGGTTCAATCTTTAGTACTGGGATGGGGGAGGATTTGAATGACTGAGTAATGATCACACTTAATATAAATATAAATATATCCTAGGTGTTCTGTAGCACTGTCTTCTGACCTTTGTTGTAGGTGTTTGGTGCAGTTATAACCTTAGCACCTACTGAAGTTCAGGTGCAGATCTGCAAAGTTTGGATTTAACCAGCTGTGCCTGGCTTGGGTCTGGCTGCTGTGCTCAGCTCTTTCCTGTTGCTGCCCTTGGGGGTGAACCAGTTGTGCCCCTCTGGCAAGATGTTCTGCTCCTGGACTAGCTTGGTGGTTCTGTCCCCTACACTCTCTGCAGGGATTACCGCTGCAGGGTTTCACCCAGGCCTGTGTGCCAGGCCTGAGCTGAGTCTGGAGGGGACAAGATGGAGTAGGGGGGAGAGGCAGCTCTCCCACACACTCACTGGGCCTGGGCTAGAACTGGATCTGGGGGTTCCTGGAACTCAGCAGAAGTTCCTTCTCAGCAGGTAGGGTGGGAGAGGTGCTGCAGAGTGGTGGGGGGTGTCCCAAGGGGGTGGAAGAGGGTCTCTATCCTAGGTGTTCTGAAATGCCTTTAAGTATAATTTAATGCAAAAATCTCCTGTTTAGGGCCAGGGAGATAGCTCAGTAGAATAAGCACTTACCTGGCAAGTGCAGGGTCCTGAGTTCAATCCCTGGTACCGCAAAAAAAAAAAAAAAAAAAGAATCTCCTGTTTAGTTTGGGTCAGGTACTCTTTTTTTAGAATAAATCAGACTTTTTATTTTTGCAGTCCTAGAGATCCAGGGCTTTAATGTGTTAGACATGTTACACCCCCCCCCTCGCCCGTGATTTGCTTATTATCTCTCAAAATATTCTAATTTTATTTCATGAGAAATAGCCTAGATTTCCTCTGTTCTGTCAAGTTTCCTATATTTCTTTGAATGATTAAATATAACTTGGGTCTCAGTAAGTTAACTACAAGAACACTCTTTCCTGTTTTTATTGTTGCACATTATCTAATACCAACAAATAATAGTGTCAAAGTGATCCAATTTTAATCTCTTCAGACAGGTCACTAAAGCCTTTAATAAGCTCTCTTGATGTGATTTAAAATTTATATTTTAGCTGGGTGTGGTGGCACATACTTGTAATCTCAGCATTTAGGAGGCTGAGACAGGAGGGTCCCTACAATTTTGAGGCCAGGCTGAACTACATAATGAGACCTTCTCTGGGGAAAAAACGAAATTGTATTTTAGCTGGGTGTGGTAGCACACATTGACTTAGCACTGTGGGAAACTGAAGTAAGAGGATCCCAAATTCAAGTACATCCTGGGCAATTTAGCAACTTCCTAAAACATAAAAGGTTGTAGCTCAATGTGAAGGCCCCTGCAGTTCAGTCCCCAGCCATTACTGCAACAAATGAAAAATAATTAAAACAAAACAAAAAAAACCTCCACCTTAGAGTCCAAGAGGTTTGAAACTGATATCATATCTTTTACTAACACAATTTAATATATAGTCATTGCATTTACCACCTGCTTACACTTTTCTCTTATTAGCAAAAAGAATATTATAGAGGAAAATACTTCATTTTTAAAATTTGTCACTTGTACCCTGTAATTAGAATATGGTTTAGTTTGCATAGGGTAAAGACAATTCTTTCAAGTTTTTAATTAATATATAGTTGTGTTTTGAGAATTCATTGCTATAGCCTTTACCTGGCCAAAGAGACATACATGAAAGCTTTGCCTGGATCATAAGGTCTGTCTTTGTTCTCTCTTCTCTTCTCTCTTCTCTCTCCTCTTTCTCCTCTCTCTGCTCTATCCTGTCTCTGTTTTTTTTATTTTGGCAGAACTGGGGATTGAACTCAAGCCCTTGCCCTTGTTTCTTAATATGCTAACAGAATACTTGAAATGTGTCTGTAGTTTATTGGCAGTTGAAGGAAGCATAGCTTTAGTATAGTATTTATTGCTCCTTGCATCCTCAAAGTTTAATTTAAGTTGAAAGAACATATCAGCTAATAATGAGATATGGAATCAAAAGTGGTGGTCATTCATACTTTAATTTACCTTCAGCGCATTGGAAATTTTAGGAGTAGGGAATAGCAGCTTTATTTAAAAGAAAGAAAAAAAACAACTGGATGTGGTGGCACAACCTGAAATCTTAGCACTCTGCAAAGCTGAGGAAGGAGGATCAAAATTTCAAACCCAGTTGGGTCACTTAGCAAGAGCCTATCTAAAAATAAAAGGGTTAAAGATTTAGCTGAATTCAAAAGTCTTGAGTTCAATTCCCCAGTACAATAAAAACAAAACAAAAAAATCCTGTCACTTAATATAGTGAAAGCCTTGCATTTGTTTTTAAGCATTTATGACTTGATAAATACAAATATTTACATTTAAGAAATCTTGTTTTCTTTCTCTCTTAATGAGAAAACATGATTTGGTAATCAAATATAAGTTAACTATATGTATACATGTATATACACGTATATTTTATGTATTATGAATGATTAGATTCTAAACGTAAATTTGCTAAGTGTAAAACATATGAGTAATTTTAATGGAAAGTTGCCAACTTCAGAGTTTAAAACATTGGTTCTCAAACCTGACAATATATCAGAACCACCTGAATAGATTGTGAAGTCAGAGAATGCTAAGCTCTATTTCCACTGAGTTTCTTATTAATATCAGAATAATAGTTTATTATTAATATCAGAGAACTTATGTACATTTCTGATTAGTTGCCAGATAATGGTGATACTGTTTATTGTTCCAGGAACTATTGATACATTTGAGAATAAGTGACTCCTAGCCTAAATTGCTATACCACATATAATAATATATGGGTGTAAAATTCTGCATATGAATGGATACTTTAATGGTTTTTTGTAATCATGATTACATAAAGTTATTATTTGACATTTCTTTTAATACAGTTTCATTCAACATGTTTTTTTTTTTATTTGAAGGATGAAACACTAGTGCATTGTAGTCTAAATGAGCTAGAAGATGCAGCACTTACTTTTCCAGTCCTTTTCCAAGATGTGATATATCAGGTAATTAAACAATTTTTTAACTTGTTTTTTGGCCTCTTAGGTCACATTTTAAGGGGAAAAAAAACAACTTTAATGTGATGTTCAATGTGTTTGTCTATAAATTTCCTGATGGATTTCATCAGTCTTTGTTAACACAAAGTAGCATACATGCTAGATAGTTACATAAAATATTAATTTGTTAACAAAAGAACACTAACTTTTCTTACCCAGTGATATCGCTAGTTTCATAATCTGTTTGCCAGCAGGTGGAGGCAGAGCACTGATATAGATCCTTAAGAGGAGCATGTTATAACACCTGATGGTGTTGTCTCCCCCACCCCATCCCAATGTAATTAATAGAAAGAAAACTCATTCCTTGTTGGTCTTTTTAATTTCTCATAGCAATATAATCTGTAAAATCCTAGCTTAAGTCAAAGATACTCTACTAGTTACTGCCTTACCTAGAGTTCGGTATTTCTGTCATTTGTGTGATGGGCAGGGAACCATGCAGAATATTTGTGTTGGCCATATTTTTAAAGATCTCTGTCTTAAGATTATCTTAAGTGAAAAGTACTTTTCCATGTTGGCTGTTCTGTTATTTAATTAGCATTATATTCATATATACCAGTTGTTGAAAGATTGGGGAAGGGTCAAAAAAGTTTGTGGTTTATCATAGGGAAGCCAATCTCACGATTCACTCTGTAGACCCACAAAGCATTTACTGTGTGGATGATGGAAAGGTTTTGTGGTTGTTTATGTGCTCTTCCTAAGCAGTTAGAATGTGCTTATAGTTTTCTTGGCAGACAGTAGTTGGTGTCTCCGGAATTACAAAACATAGAAGTTTATGCTTTGGGGTACTTTACTAAATTTGTCTAGTAATGAGTCAAAAATATTTATTTTAGCAGTAATTATCAGTTCTAATTTAATGAAGGTAGGGATTAAAGGCATGATAATATCTGAACACTACAATTACTCCCCTTTTATATACACTAATTTTAGTTATAATCAGGATAGGCAAAACATACATAAAGGATTTTAAGATGTTTCAGTTTTCTCTTTTAGCTGATTATTACTTTAAGGCAGTTTTTTTGTGTTACTAAGACATTCTTTAATAAATAGGTTATTACTCTTGTTTATTGCCCATGAAAAGTAATAACTTAGTTTTTGCTTTTTAGCTCAATACCTGGTTGATGTTTTGGTGTTGTTTATTTTCAAGATAGTGTTTGAAAATAGTGGCTTTAGGGCTTTGAGTTTGGAAAGGAAGCTACTTGAAAACTATAGATAAATACTGATTTAGAGATGACTTCTTAAGCTTTCACATTTGAAAATAACTTACTTCAGATGGTTTTGGGTCTGTTTGTGTAATTTTTAATAGTGAAATAAGAAACCTGGAAAGTTGGGCCATAAAATTGAATCCTTTTTTCTTATTGTCCTCACTATTTCTGCTTTAATTCTTTTATCTTTTTAAAAGTTCTTATTATTTTAATGTGGATCTGGATAGTTGTCTTATTTTGAAGACTTATAGCAGTACATATTGACTAATATTTCACTACATCTACCTCTGGAATTCTAAGAACTCTATATTCTCTATTCTGAAACTGAAAAAGAAATTATCTAAATCATAATAACCAAGCTATAGAGGTGGTTCTGTTTTAATACTATGATTTATTATTTACTACATCAGGGATAGACTTTAGTTCTCTTTTAGTGAATTTTTGAGTATGTCCATAGTTAACATTGAATATATTCCCTTAGATTTCTGGTTTTGGCATAGCCAGATATTCTTTGCTTTTTAAAAGAAAAAAAAAATTACTGAAGAAATCTTTGGGTTAGGGTTCCCCTAGTTTTTTCAGACCAGCAAGCTCCCTTTAAACAGGGAATGATGTCTTTTAAACTTTCAGTGGTGTTGTCTCCATCTACTGGCAAAGAAGAAATATACACAAGGGTCTGTGATGATCTAAGAGATTTTGGAGAAACCACATTATTAGGTAAGATGTAACTTAACATATTTAACCACTGTACTGTAATGTGGCCCACTTAAAGGTAGAAGCCTGTAAAATACTGTATATACTCTTTTATTTTAAAATTGGAGGTAAAATTTGCTTAACAAAATTAACTGTATTTTAGTGAATACATATTCAATGTCAGTTCCATAGTATTATATTCTGTCTCTTCTCCTCTACCCACATCCCCTTTCTTTTTCACTTAATATAGGATCAGATTTCTTTATCTGAATGAAGACCAGATGAGACTTTTTGTTGATGTTGTTGTTTTTTGTAAGGTTGTTATGGTTGGCCCATATCTAATTTCTTTTATTTCAAAAAATAATTTAAAGGGTAAATTGTTGTACATATAGCTTAATCTTCTGTATAAAAAGTTGGCAGACTTTTGATACAAAGGGCCGGTTGTAAATATTTTAGGTTTTGTGGTCTTTGTTGCAGTACTTTTTCTGCCATAATAGCCATAAATCAAAAAGCATGGCTGTGTTCCTATAAAACTTTATTTATAAAATGAGTAGAGGGATGGGTTTGGCTAGTAGGGCCATAGTTTGCTGACACATGATCTAATAATTATGAGAGTATATACAGTAAATTTACATCCTAAATGTAAGCAAGTAATTAAATGCTGATCAAAATTGTTACCATATACAGAAAATTTTAATTAGGTCCACAGAAATCTGGTTGTGAGCTTTTGTAGTTATTCCCCCAGATCAAAGCTTGAGGAGACTTCGAAGTGGCCACTATTCACATTTAAATATTGCCCGTGGAATATTAAATATTTGGTATAGTGATACATGCCTGTAATCCCAGCACTGAGGAGGCTGAGGCAGGAAGATCATTGTGAGGTCAGCCTGTACTACACAGTAAGTTCAAGGCTAGCCTGAAATGCATAGTGAAACCCTGTCTAGAAAAAAAAAAAAAACCCAAATAGATAGTACATGACTTCATGATACATACTCTTTGATATATAGGAATAAACTTGATTAATGAAAGTGTTAGAACTTTTGAGCAGGTAGATTATTGAAGTCTAAATTTTATATATATGAATTTAATTTCATTAGGCAATAACAAAAATAAAAAACATCCATCTCAAAAGTTAGGGGCCTTGGGGCTGGGGAGATAGCTCAGTAGAGTAAGTGCAAGGGCCTGAGTTCAATCCCCAGTTCCACCAAAAAAAAAAAAAAAAAAAAAGTTAGGGGCCTGGGAGATAGCTCAGTGGAATAAATGCTTGCCTGACAGGCGCGAGGTCCTGAGTTCAATCCTTGGTACCATGAAAAGAAAAAGTCAATGTAAGTCAGGTGTGGTGGTGCACACCTGTAATCCCAGCACTTGGGAGGCTAAAGACCAGCCTAGGCTACAAAGTGAGCTCAAGGCCAGCCTGAACTGCCTAGTAAGACCCTGTCACAAGAAGACAAAAAAGCAGGGACAGAGGTAAAAAAGCAGGGACAGGGGTTCCATCCCTGGCATGATATGCCATGCCAGCCCTGCCCCCAGGGTACACTGAGACAGTGATTGAGACTGGGTGTGGTAGCACTTGCCTGTAATCCTAGCACTTGGGAGGCTGAAAACAGGAGGATCACTATGAGTCTGATCTGTAGTGAGACCATGTAGACCCTATACTAAATACATAATTTTTTTTAAAAAAAAGTTAATGTACTGGGCTGGGGATATAGCTAAGTAGTATATTATCTGCCTGGCAAGCACAAGGTCCTGAGTTCTTCCAGGTACCCACCAAAAAAATAAAAAAGTTAATGTACTAACACTGTATGGAGTAAACATATTACAGCTTCTTGTATATGGATACGGTCATTTGAATGAAGAACTTTAAAATAGGGTATGGCACTCACAAAGGCAAAATGCATAGATTTTTCTTGGAATTGGTGTTTTGTTTAACTAGGTTTTTTTTTTCCTGAAAATTGTTTTATAAGTAGTTATTGGGAAAGTATTTATTCATAAATGGTAAAAATGCATTTGATATCTGGAAAAACAAGTGCATGATCACTTCTATGATGCACATGTTAAATCTGTATATTTAGTTTATATTGACACATTTTCAGGAAATCCATCTCATGGTGTTACTCAGTTAAGAGGTCTCCACTGTATTTAGTTTCTGTTCCTGCAGATCCACCAATTCAAGACTGTAGGTCATCTCACTCCCTCTTCCATCCAGAAGATGACTTCTATCCACAAGCAGGACTGAATCAAAAGACATTTTTCACTTAGCTCTTGAGCTGAAACACCTCCTCAATGACCTTCCTCTATCTCCATCAAGAACTGGAGCTCAATTTTTTGAAGATGTAATAGAGCTACTCAGCCCAAATGTGGCTGTTTGAAGACAAAAAGAAGATACCTCATATGTTTCACCACAGTGCAGCCAAACGTAACTGTGTTGTCCAACTCCTCAATTCTGTAAAGTATGGCAGGGGAATCTGAGTTTTTGATTGTTCACCAATAAGACTTTAGCCAGTCAGTGGCTTTCTGAAGATCAGTAAAATCATCAGACTTTGGGTCAGCTGTCCAGAAATCAGATTGTGGTAAGCACTTAAGGAGAGAGAGAGGATCTTATAGGGAGCTGCTTACACAAGATGCTTTGTTTTATTGGTAAAGGTTCCTTTTATGGGAAAGTTGGGGACTGGGAGGTGGGTAGAATGCTCCATGATTAGCAGAGTTCATCCTCTTCCTATTACTTTAGTTTGTTTTTTAGAAATTTTATAGCTTAGGATAAGTTTTATACCATAAAAAAAGAATTAGATGTCAGTGGCTTCTGTCTTTGATGTACACTTTCCTAGAAAAGTTAACTTACTTGCTCCAAGAAGAAAATCGTTTAAATGAAAATTTTATAGTAAAAAGCTAATTACATTTTCTCATTCCATAAATTCTGACATACTACCATCCAGAAAGCATTTTTATTTTATTTTATTTTATTTTATTTTATTTTATTTTATTTTATTTTATTTTATTTGCAAAACCAGGGATTGAACTCAGACCCTTGCGCTTGCCGGGGAAGCGCTTATTCCACTT